AATTAGTGATATTTACACCTAACAAACCTTCTAACGAGACAAACTCCTTCCAATTTTTTCCTAGATCAATCAAGGACAGAAGTAGCCACCAACTGTTCTTCAGAACTGTACGTTCTTTTTCTCAAAACACACAAAGCAGGTTCAAGCACAATTTCGAACATTTTCTTTCGTTATGGCGATTCTCGAAATCTTTCCTTTGTTCTTGGCTCGGGAACTCGAATTGGTTGGCCGACACGATTCCGTATTGGACAAGCTCTCGCTTTCGATGGAACTCGGCCAAACTTTCTTTGCAGTCACACAAGATTCAATAAGAAAGCCATGAACCATTTATTTCCAAAAGACGCCAGCAAATATGTGACAATCGTCAGAAACCCGGTCAAACAGTTTGAGTCGATTTTTAACTACATGCAAATCGGAACTGTGTTCGGTTTTGGGACAGATCCATCCGAATCATTGAAAGCCTTTCTAAAGAATAGAACAGGGTTTGATATCCTCAGAAAAAGCGGAAGTTCTGTTTTAGCCAGAAATCCACAAATGTTTGATCTCGGTTTGGATTTCAAGTTTTATCAGGATGCCAAAGCCATTAAAGAGTACATTGAATTCCTGGAAAAGGAGTTTGATTTGGTTTTAATCGCAGACTATTTTGACGAATCTGTGGTTCTTATGAAGCGATTACTATGCTGGGAATTGGAGGATGTACTTTTTGTAAAAACAAACGAACGGCTTGACAAGGACAAAGCTGCTGAAATATCAAATGATACGAAAGAGAATATCAGACGGTGGAACAAAGCCGACGTGTTGCTGTACGAACACTTTAACCAAACTCTTTGGCAAAGAATAGAAAGGGAAGGAAAAGACTTTTACGATGATCTTACGAACTTTCGTCGAATGAAACAGGAACTTAAAACTAAATGTTTTGAAGACAAGCCAAGTAAGCAGTTAATTTATGGCAACAAGTATGCTAAAGGTTTGACTTTAAGATCGGATTTGCCTTCTGATCTAAAACAAAAATGTGAAAGAATGACACGAACTGAAAATAATTATCTGGCATATTTACGGAACAAGCGAATGGCAAAATTAGTTGGTATTCATCGCGCAGCACCAAATGAGGATGATCAAGAAAAAGTTAGTTGGGACGCGGCGAGCGATTATAAATATTTTCCTGTATAAAGTAACCAATTGTGAGAGACTATTAACACAAGTTATATATTTCGTATATTTCGTGGTGAAATTAAATAGTCTTAACGTAGATATTTAGAAAACGCGAGAACACTTAAGGAGTGTTTGTGTGAGTCGGATGTCTAAATATTCACATTTACTAATACTACATGTCCTTGAAAAAGTTGTTCTTTTCATTCTGTGATGCGTAAAACCAATGGTATAAAGTACCATGAAAACCTAAATTTCATTGAATCTAAATTGACAGTTAGCAAGTGAGCAAAATTGCAAAAAATGTTTTTTAAGGAGTTAAGACTTCTTGATATAGTTTTTTTACCATTTGAATCAAAAGACAGATATGGAAATTTGCAAGTGCTGCCGGGAAGGCATGCAACGCCTTGCCCAGCACGAGGTGCTTATACAAATATATATGGAAGTAAAGTGCATTGGCAAAGTAAAATTTGGAAATCAGTCTTAATTAGGTGGTAGGCAAGTTGATTGTTCTGGAGATATCTCTCCGTCATCCTCTGATGTTTTGGCCGCGTGGCAAAGTTTTTTTTTTCCAATTGCAAAACTACGGGTTCCACTTAAAATGTTTGTCGATGACAGGTTTTCACCACAAAGTAAACACATTCCACCGGCTTTTACACATGACTTTATTCTAATTGAGTTTTAAAAGGGGTCAGGAAATGGAGGCTTTTTAGTAAGTCAGTCGACCGGGAATCCTAAGGAACTTAAGCAGCGCCTTTGCGTGCGTTCTTGACCACTGTGATTTTATGATAAAAGTTGCCTGCAAGGCCGTTATGACCTCCACTGGAGCAATTATCATAAACCGAGGTATCCAATAAGAAAAAGGAGTTTCTTTGTAACTATACCAAATTCATATCAGGTGAGTGAAATAGAATGTCCGCCGCTGTATTCGACTCACGCCACCGATCTATTGTTTCAATTCCGGCCGTCGAGCACAATGCCTGCAAAACACATTATAATCATCGTATCATTTACAAGAGGATAATTCTTTGTTCACTTTACTGCTTTTTTTTTCTTTGCTCTTTTGAACTTTTTAATGAAGATCCTGGAGTGTGGAGTGAGATATTAGTGAGTGTCGCAATAAAACCTGAACCAAAACAAAGAATCAATTACCAACCCAGAGTGTTTTACACGTGGACACCGTGAAGCTGTCCGATTTGGTGACGCGATAGATTTACACGTGACTTCTAACCAATTTCTATATATTGCCTTAGATAAATTATCTGAAAATACTCAAGATCATTTCTTTTGCTGTTTTGTTTTCAAAATGTTCGTGGGCTGATCTTTAACAACTGAAGAAAACTGCTGGTTAGAGTCGATTTTATCACAGTTAACAATAACTTATTTCCAGGTCTTTATCAGTTCTCTGAAGCATCAGGAGGAATGTTGATAGAAACACGGAGGTGTTTGGTGAGTTTTTCATTTGTGTGTCAAAATTACAATAAGAATTGATATCCATGTCAAAAAATATTCCAAATTAGCCTCAAATTTTCCTCGTGTTATAACATAGGCATGTCACTCTAGCCTTATCCGGGGGGGAGGCGGGCGGGCGGGAACTGACTTCATTGCCCATGAGAGCGTTCTTCTTTATTCAGAGAGTCGTCGTTTTGAATAAATTCGCTCATATGAGTACCTGTTTCACATTCCTAGCTACCACCGGTTCTTAAGTAAACTAGGATTGCAATATCTTAGCCTTTCATGCATTCTAATGACACTTTCCATTTTTTTTTCTCAGTTCCTTGCAATTATCTTCACAATCCTGTTGCTTATAGAAATAGCCATGCAGTTGGAATTAACTCCCTTGATACCGGTTTTCAAAAGGTCTCTACAGGGTAAGACCATTGGGAATCATATGACCATATATGAATTATGAATTACTTTAAGGACCAATCACTTAGAAGTTGTTTCTGAAACATCCAGCCCTGACATCGTAAAAATAGTTTTTTGGTTAGTTATCGTGATAAATAACACTTTCAGAGAAGAAATTTCATCGTTTTTCTCACGATGTGGTCATTTTGAGTGAGGATCGTGACGCTTCGATTGCATACTGCTAATCTTCTTCAGCCGATGAGGTCTAATGAGTACGCGTCGCCCATAAGCTGTCGTGCTCGGTTGTGTTCCGCAAAGATATTTGCCTAAAATTACAATCTTTCGCTTAGCTCTTGAATTTTCTAAGAGTGTCTTAAAATATACACTTTGCAATGCTGCTCTAAATTACTCAAGAGCTATATTTTCGAAATCGGCGTGGACGCTGACGTTTGCATACTTAGGCTGTGAGTATTCTTCTTAAAGGTTACTTCTTTGTTTAATGATCGAAAAATTCTTTTTCTTTCAGCCTGCTAATTGCAACAGATCTGAAACTCGTTTCTTTATCTTTTTAAGGTTATTTTCAAAAACCGCTTAATTGTGTCGCACGTTGTTCACTGATATGATGCTGTCGTTATGGCCATTTTAAACCGTTTTAAAAAGCAAAACTCGGGTTAAATGTAATCTCATTTCAACCAATTCATTTCATCGATTTTTGCTGCATTTCAAGAATAAAACATAAATTTGCATAATTTATACTGCTTCGCATGACGCGTACATGTCGAAAGAATTATTCACTGGCGGAGGAGAATTTAATTACCAGAGCTGAAACTCTCAGGGTGGAAAGTATAGCTGTGGAAGTTGACGGAAATTGTTTCTGTAATCAAATGAAGGTACCAGAGGCTGTGTTTAGAAGCTGAATTACCTCTGTTTTGGTCGACCACAATGGTGACTGTTAAGGAAGGAAAATTTGTAGAAAATACCAAGAGAGTTTTCGAACGAAGGATGGCATATTACTTGGGCACAGTCTTGTTTTCGTTGGATAGTTTTTACGTTTCTGGTAACCGCCGAAATAAATACAACAATTTGCATATTTAACTAAGCTAAAATCGAATTTCAAACTGTTGAAAATTCTCCCGTAAAACTAGTCGATGGAACCTTTAACTGTTTTCCTTAAAGACAATCATGCAAGGGAATTTTATGGCAAAATAAAGGAAAAATCGTTTCAGCTATGATGTGTAAAACTTTGGCCCGCCCTATCCCACAACACTCTTGTTAAAAAACAAGGAGGTACTTAATGTGATTGCATTCTTATTGATTAAAACTCGGTTTTAGACGGAGTGAGTGATACTACCTACCAAAATCATACTAATGAGATACATTGTTCATCAAACTTCTCTTTCAGAAAATTCAAGCCGTCAGAATTTTCATATCAAAGGTCCTTCTGTAAAAGATACCCCTTCTGTTAATATAACAACAGCATGCAAGCCTCACAAGTAAGGATACCAGCATATCTAATATATTATTGCTTACTGTTAAGATCAGAAAAGTCTGAATATCTCTTGAGAAACGTCCGGAAAGTTTCTTGTGTTGTGACCACTCACGTAAGGGATGGCAGGTCACAAGTTGCAGGTCAAAGGTCATGGGTCATACAGAACAGGTCACAGGCCAAGGGTAAAAGGTGATGGGAGATACCAGGGAAATACCACATAGATGTCTTACTCCTAATCTGCTCGCTTTCCTTGACTTGCTCATCATATTCCTGGCATTCACGGTCTTCTAAGTTTCGCAGTAATAGCGAGTAAAAATGTTAAATTAACATTTGATTGATAACTCTTCCTTGATTGTTTTTTATTCCAGTTACCATTTGTTTCCTCGACATTTCTATGAGTATAACAACCACTTGTTTCTTCCCAGGAAAAGAATAGTATTAATTAATTAACCTGAAATATTCACTGAAAATAGCCTTCAATTACACACTCTCACCTCGGGATTTATTCTTTTGAAGGCCAGACAAAGTTGGGCAGGAACAAATTCTTAAATTTTATGGACCCCCAGGACGGCTGAAGGAACAAAAGTGTAACGATAAACGTTACCCAGATATCTGTTCATACCAGTTAACTAAGATAATGGAACATAACGTGTCTTGTGATGTGAAGGTGTGTGGGTCTTCAAAGATTAAAATGGCTTCAGTGAATCCACAAATGGGGAAAGCTGTTGATGACTGGGAAACAATACCGAAGGAAAAACTTACTTATAAAGTACAGGAAGCAGTAAGAACAAACCTGGAAAATGGATTTAATTTCTTTTTTCTTAAATGTGGAAGGATTTATCAAGCCTTTAGTATTCCTCCTGTCTTCCAGAAAAATGAAAATGATGAAAACAGAAGTGCTATCAATATAAATATTATTGTGTTGGACTCTATCTCAAGGCCACACTTCTATCGAACCATGCCAAAATCTATAGAGGCTTTGCGAAAGATAAAGGAAGATTCTACAATCAAGGCGACCTCCTTGGACTTTGAACTTTTTCAGAGCATTGGTCAACAGACTTTTGAAAACTTAAGGCCATTCTTCAGTGGTGTTCTGAAAGGTGATTTGACAAATTTCTTGGCCATTGTTAATTGATTTGTGATTGCTATGAGCTTTTTTTAAGTGATCAGGCTTCGAGTGCTAGCCAAAAGAAAAAAGGGATACAGTAGTGGGATAAAAGAAATTCGTCCAAATCGGCAGTAGCTGTTAAAATTAGAACGTCGATCTAGAATGGGACTGGTTGTGATCATGAAGTCTGATAATCTGGGTGAAAGTTAGAAGTCTTGAAAAGAACTGTTGTTGGTTTTAGTAGTTTTAGTTGGTTGTCATGTCAACAACCTAAGTAAAGGTCATCATCAATGTCAACTGACTTCGTGATGATGTCTGCTCAGGTTTGTTAAATGTTTTGCAGTAGTTCTTTTCAGGGCCACTGTCACCCAGAATGATCACCAGCTACCCCTAAGTGAAACCATTTGTTGTTGATACTAGTGGCAAATTAGACACAGGTAAAGATGATGCCTCTAAAGAAACTTATGCTGATTAGTATTACTTTGTGTAGTATATTTTGTTTCAAACCTGATTGAAGCCGATATAGTTACAATGGGTGAGATTGCCACTACTACTATGACTTCTAATAGTAATAATGATATAATAACACCTTACTAAATTAAGTTGTAAATCTATCAGATGACAATGAAGTGAGTGCATCTGGAAAGAATACAAAGGCTCCTTTGGGTGTGGAAGTGCTATATGGAGCCTTCAAAAAGTGGGGCTACCAGACGTTCTTTCAAGAGGACCTTTGTTGGTACGATATATGGGGGACTGCGTTAACAGATATGGAGAGGAGAGAAATGCCTAAAACAAATTCTGAATTCAAAGTTAGGTGAGTTTCCTATTTATTAATTTGTTTCTTTGTGGATGTGCTTGAGTGGTGGGTGTTGGTAATGCTGGGCTTGGCTGCTAAAAGTTCTAAACACCTGGTTTAGTGATTTGGATCAATCAGGGTATTCTCCTTCTTTAAAACAAGAGAGAAATTGGTTCAGTCTCACTGAGCTAAAGATGTGTTGGCTTATCTTAGCGTCCTTGGTGACAAGGAGTATTGCTTCCTCTCCCCTAATCCATTGCAGCTAAATGTCAGATGGTTTCCAGACAGTAACTTGTGCTACCTTTTACTGAAAGGACACGGGCACTTTGAGAGAGCGTCTTCTGTCTCCCTCAAGACCACGACTCAATCATCCATGGAGCCCAGTGAGTTAAGGCAAAAAAAACCCCCCGGGACCATAACCGATGTCCGTGGATTTTCATCCCGAAAATCTTTACCATTATAAGAGGATAGTATCAATTGAGTGCTGCAATAATTATTTGTGTGAGATGAGAGTGTCAAATTTTTTCTTAACAGGTGGAAAGAATTTCAGAATAAGATGGCTAAAAAGATGATTGACCATGTTGGTATCACACATTTTTCCTGTACTGTGTTGGCCAGAGTTGGGAGGACCAATCATTTTGACAAACCTAAAAAAATATGTCTGAACGGGCGATTTTTTGATTGGTACTTCTTTAACTACATAACAAGAGTGTACACTGCTCTAGAAAAGAACAGAAAAGCCAAACCGTTGGTGTCGTACATGCATTTCAATACGGGACATGAGATGACAGGGAAACGGATGATCAACATGGATACCGGTTTAGCAAAGTTTGTCATGGATATGGCTTCATTTCCAAACACCTTGACTATGATATTTTCAGATCATGGTCACAAAACGACTCCATTCAGTTTCACTGAAGAGGGAAGGAGAGAGTTATTTGATCCAGTGTTCTTCATGATTGTCCCTAATGGAGTTAAGGAAAAAATAGGATCAGAAAGAATGGTAGCGTTGGTAACAAACCAAAAGCGCCTCTTTATGTTGTATGATGTTCACAAAGCACTCATGAGTTTGCATGATTCTCAGAAAAAGGACTCGAAAGATTATTTAGTTTCTGGAATATTTTCAGAGATTCCGGCAAATCGCACATGTGCAGACTTGTACATGCTCCCCTTAACAAGATGCAAATGTGAAGGTTTTGATGAAGCAATTCTAGTAAACGACAATGCGAACGATCACATGTGGTTGGCTGAATTTGCTGTGGGATACATAAACAATGCTATTCAAAAACAATACATGAGCGGTAAGATGTCTCCTGTATGTTATTTTCCGTTGTTTCACCTTGCTCTTTCTCTATTTGATGGGCAACCGTCTGGAATTAGCTTTTTAATTACCCATGCAAAACAAATTTTCACTAGGCCTCTAAATATATTCTCATCAAATTAAAGAAAGAGTGGTGGAATGGGTTAGGAAAGATAAAGTGTGCTGGTTTGGGTTGAAGTAAAAAGCTTAACTTAAGTGAGATGAAGCGTTATGAGGTGAGAAAAGATAAGGTGGGGTATGGGGAATTGGGATCAATGTTAGTATCTGAGCACCTGCACACCTACCCCTCACCTTACCCAAAATAAACCGCCCCTAGAGGGGAGGGAGGTGTAAAGTTGCCCAGATACTTGACTTTTATCCGGGAATTGCAGGGAGGGGAGATTTCTGACTCTCAGAAACAAAATGCGTTAGGTTTGATTTTCATTCATTTTTCAATCATTATTATCAGGAATTAGTGACTCAAAGAAACAGTATGGCTACGGAAACTGCCAGCGCTTAGTTGGAAAATCATTTGAGAAGGTTGTCAAACGATTTCGAGGAGAATACATCCTGACTTCCATGGACATTCACGTGTTCCCTCCAGCCGGATACACGGAAGATGAAGTCTATAGAGTCTCTGTTAAACAGTTTGCAAAACCAAAGCAAGGAGTATTTTTCCTTAATTCTATCCGGCAAACGATGTACAACAAGTTTGCCTCATGTGCAGATAAGTCAGTGGATATCAAGCTCTGTGCATGCGCTAAAGAGGAAGCTGCTGACGCCACGAAGAAAGAAGTGTTGTTTGACAATGTAGTTCCACGCAAAATGTTTGGTTCGGACACAATTGTGAGAGACTTGGATTCCAACTGTTTGCTATTCTTGCGACGGAATTATGGAACATTTTCATTTGCATTGGAAGTGGCAAATATTTGTTCAAATCGAACTTATAAATTTAAACTAACAGGCTCTATGTATCAAAGAATATTCTCTAATACTGTGCCTATCAAGCGGAAATTATTCCCAAAGACTATTTACTTTTTAACCTCTGTGTACAAATACCTTTCAAAAGTAAACTGTCCTTTAGGATTGAAAGCAAGTGTGAAGGTTAAGAAGGATGGATCAGACGCTTTTACTAATTTGGGGACCTTCAGTGTTTCATGACATTCAGAATGTTACAACAGTGTTATATGATTTTTGGCTCCTGTATAATGAAAATGTTCACTTAAACCGTCATCTAGAATTCGAGAGCGGATCGCTCACCATAATTATCATCTTTTCTTGGCGTACTTAAATTTGTTGCCAAGCATCATTTTCTCTGACTATTTACAATCCATTTACACCTTTGTCAAATTCAACTTTTTGCATTTGCCTGCGCGTCTGAACAATGTTTATATCAAAATTACAAGAATTAGTACTTACAGAGATATGCAATTTTGCACTCGCAAATGTCTGCTCAATTCATAAACAATTACTGAATGATGCATACATTGCCTAACGTCGTTTAAGATTATAAATAATTACGGTTAACCTGGAGGATTGAAACCTTAGTTACATAAACACCTCTGTAGATGCTTAAGATACTTTGTTTTAGGAGCTTAAACATCCTTAACAAGGGCTTCTTCAGCAGAGGAAAATAATGTTCAACGGCAAGGTTTATCATGCAACATCACCTTAGAAATCAATATAAATTAACAAGATATGAAATTGTGATTGTTGTAACAGTGCTAATTTATGCATGATTATCGCGGAGTCCTGGTACAGGTTTGTTACCAGGCCCCGTATGTTGCTCGCGTCATTCTTGTACTCAACTCTCAGACTTGGAATAAATGTATTGTGTTTACATGAAACTTCTGTGTCCTTTCTCGCTGCTGTTAGTTCTTCGGATAAAGTCACAATTGTAGCCCAACAAAACTAAACCTTAACATCAGACAGAGCTAAAAAAGTTTCCCCAAGTCTATCAGTGCCTAGCCAACAACTACATGTTTATTTTTTTTTTATTTTTATCATTTTTGACACAACAATATTTAATATAATATCGTCGTGTTTATCTACCAATTTACTAGTTCGCTTTCATGTTTTTTCTCGCTTTACGTTTAAGCCTAAGTATGTTTGAAAATACAAATGTAAGTAACTTTAATCTTAAAAGTTACTGTTGTATTTTCAACATGTCATTGATATTCATACTGTTACTAATAAACTGTGTTAAATGTTATTTTTGGGCTCAATTGGGCCTCCATGAGATGTTCCTAGAAATCATCCATCATTGTGTAGTTTTCTTTCATTGGCCAAGTAAACCGTGGAAACTTGGGTTGAAATCTTTTATAATTTTACCTTTCAAAACAAATGAGACAAATTTTGATTCATAGCAACACTGCATAAGCACTGATGATAAGAATTACCTTTTTATTACGCGATACCACCATCCTAAACTAAATTTCTTGCTCCAAGCGTAAGAGTTACTAGTTACAAAGTGAGACACTTAAGTATTCGCCTAAATTCATAAAACTTTAAGCTTAATCGCTTTAAATCGTTTTATATCGTCTGAAGCCTGGTATTTGTCTCTGGATCTCGTACAACGCCTGGAAGCGTCTTTTGTTATTTATTTTGTTTTTCATCTGTCAGTTTATTTACGTAAACTTGTAGTAACTTATCATTTTTTATTTTTTTACTTCGCTTCAATTCTTCAATTCGTTTTGTTTTGTTCGGAAGTATATTAAAGAGCCGTTTTGTTTTGGACGTGTACGAGTATATTTGACCATCACACCTGGTAAAATAGAGAAACTTAGGAGCAAAATTTGCACGTCATCCTAAAGGTAATCGGGTATTCTTTGGGTTGTGGCAGCGTTTTAACTTTTTCCAGTCCATAAAACATTAATGACAGGTGCAATTGTTCCGTAAATTACCCAATAGAAACAGAAGAAATTTACCGAGAAAAAGCCGCATTAAATTCCTTTGGGTGTAGATTAAGTGGGTAATTTGAGTTAAGTTTTCTGGTAAAAGGCGGAAACACCAGATTTACACACCAAACGATTTACACAAAAATGATCCTCTTTTTTTTTTTCCGCAAAATGCATGCAAACGTTTTTTTGGAGATACAGTTGTTGTTTCCTTGTTTTTTTCCCAAAATATGTGCATCCTTACTTTTATACTTGGGAAAAAAATTGTTTCAGAGTTTGTTCGGAAGCGATTTAAATCACCTTTTTCATTATATTAATGAAAACATCTCGGTGATGACTCTTTTTGATTTGCATTACCTGTGTTTTAACTAACATTTACTCGCTCAAAATTGTATAGGTTTATGGAGGATTTTGCCGTAATCGCAGCCTGAGATCGTTCGGGTTTTTGGGAAGCATTTCGTTAAGTTGTAGAAAAAGATAAAAATGTTATTCACCAGCCGAGGTCGGTCTGAATTGGGCAAAACTGTGCCCGCAGTCTCGGGTGGTACTCAAAACAGAGGGAACAGTTTTTCCAAATACGGACCTCCCTACTGGTGAATGACACATATTTAGGGCGGGTGCGCATAATCATTGGAGCAGTTTTGGACAGACGGTCGAAAAACGAAAACGACAGTAATCACAAGAGCTGATGTTAACAAACTCCAACATCAGCACTAGCCAATGAGAAGTTAAAATAAGTACTGAGAAGCGTAACCAGAGGTTACTACTCATTTTCTTTATACAGTTTTTGTTTTCCATACATTGGGAGAAGGGAAGGCGTTTTATGTTGACCAATCACAGAGCAAAGTAACGCAAATGTAATCGTACCCACATCATAGCTTGCGACACTTCCAGTGCTTGTCAGTTACGAACATGTAATTGTGATCGGGGAGGGTACTAAGGTGTTTTCTTTCTTTAAATTAATAGTGCTTCAGAATTATACTGGTGAAAAGTAACCTTTTTCAGGGCTTTCTCAATTTCCTGAAACTTCTGGCAGAATGATTCCGACAAAGCGAAAGTGGATGGTAAGTTTTTTTGTAAATTTTCTTTTAAAACAAACGACGCAAGGCAGCCGGGTATGCTCTTGACTGGTCTTGATGCTTAGCAAAGATTCTTTCAAGTCTTTTGAAAGTATTGGATACTTGTTTGTAAGTTTTAAGCTATCCCAGAAATGATATCTGTTTTCTAGTTGATATATCCGAACTTATGCGTACTTTAAACGAAGAGTTCTCGGCTTGTGCCTACCATAAGTCGCTGGATGTTTTGATCGATAATTCAGAGTGAATGCCGGTAGCCAGGCGGATGTTCCTCGAATTCCCCACAAAAGACCTCATTTAAACTTAATGTCAGCAACAACTGATTGTTAAAAAAGTGTCATGTGAATCTAAAATTATTTTGGTTTTAAGGTGAACGAACGTTTTGAGCTTGTGTATTAGTACTTTAGACATCTCCAGTTCGAAATTACCCGTGGAAAGAAGAGGCAAGTTTGGATCGAAGTGCGAAAGCCACATGACATTCGGAATCGCTATAAATTCTTATAAAACAAGTGATGATTTCAGGAATTTTGAAAGAACCTTTCCATGAAAATTAAATTTCTGGCTGCATGGCGTTTAACTCCACTAAGGGTGGCGTTTAAGTTCATTTAGGACCGCCCTCGTCTACAGGTTATTTAGATAAATGTGTTAGAACCTTAATTTATCCAACTCATCTGAGATTCAACCCATCGTTGACATAGCTTTCGTAAACTTGTTACGGGATAGAATCTGTCTTATATTACATTTTTATTGCCTGTCTATCTCTTACTTATATCGGTGTAGAAGACACAGTTGATTTAAAACAATAGGGAACAATTCCCCTATTCGAAATTTTCGTTTATTACGAGCCAAAATTCTTGTCACAACAATAATTTGATTGCGATTCTTTCAAGAAGAATCATGCTCCTAGCGACGAGATTGAATGGCTAGAGGAGAATTCTGGTAAGAATGCTTTCCATCTGAATACCTTGAGACGAATCTCTGTTTCAGAAACTCTTGCCAATAGATCAGGAATTCTATCCTCAAGAACGAGAATTCTTTTCATCAGGCAATGAAGTATTATAGTTTTCCTGGAAAGAATGTTTAATTGAAAATATTATGAAGGGAATTCATAAGAGAAGAAGCAGAAACCTTGTCGAGAATTCTTATAACCAGACTTTTATTAAGTAAACTTTCACTGCCAGTAACTTTGATTTATACACCTAAAGAGCTGATGTAGTCTTTTCAGCCTTGTGTCCCTACAGTAGTGGAGAACGGACGTACATAAACGATTCCTTAGGAAGTCAAAAAGCGATTTCATGGCGGCGATAATTTACATTAAATTGAAAATTCGCATCACCAAAATTACTAACGTCAGTAGCGAAAGCCTCATCTGAGGGTTTGAGCTGTTCCCAAATAGTCCTTAAGTATACAGTAGACCTTCAAGGACAAATTTTCTTCTTCTTTATGCTTTTTTCATGTCAGGCGGAAAATTCCAATGTTTCAGCCCGCTCAAAATGTGAAAGCGTTAATTAAGAACTGCTGAGAAATTTTTGCAAAACAGTGCATAGGAAGAAACTAAGACAACAGTTTTAGTTGTCAATGCTAAAATGTAAGTGATCCAAAAAATATGAGAGGGAAGTGCACAACACAAGGTACTGAATTTGATTCAATTTAAGTGATTGTGAGATTGTCAACGGTCAACCCTGTTTATGTATAATTTGACAAATAAATTAGCTTCATAAAAGTTAATTTTTACCATATAGTTCCAAATTGCTTAAGTATACTACTTGGTTAATTAATAAACAGGCTTACACTCATCAAATTTTACTGGTATGTTGTATGTTTGTAGAAGTTTTAGCCATGATTTGCTAAATCAAACTGCACTGATTATGGCATAGTAGGATTCAATGTAATCACAAAGTGACATAAATACCGAATGCTCAGCTTGATTTATGAGGCAAAATAAAATTGTTATGAAGAGTGATTTTAACCCTGGAATGCATAGTTTGATTTAACCTATCAGGGTTTTTAGGCCATTTAAATAGGTTTGTTAATACCCGACTTGTCATACAGAGAGATTCAGTGTTTGACCATGCTCAACCATGGTCAGTTTTAGTTAAAATCTTGGTTGACAATGAACTGTCATGCTTCGATTGAGTAACTTGACTGTAGTTGACCATGGTCTATCACAATCCATCATAGTCCAGTT